TGCGAAACTTTGCCAAGCAGCTTGGCCTTGGCCTTTCTGGAGTGGGTTGCGAGGGCGCGTGGCGTAAAATGCGATCCCCAATCTGCCCGCGAGGGCGACAACGCTTGATGATGCGCGGTGACTGTGACTCGTGATTCACACTCACACACGGACTCTATGCTGCTGTCGCCGTACGTAAATTGTGACTGGCCGGTCCATTCACCATTCACGAACAGAGATATGCGATATTCCCATGAGTGATTCTTGAGTACGTCTCGCTGTAGCGCGGTGTAAACGAGGCAACGTTGTATAGGAGCCAACTCCGCGGCACTCTCGGCATGCATGTGACGGACTTGGATGCATGCTGATTGCTGTATGGTGAATGAACGTGCCGTGACGTTGTGCGCGCGTTCAGCAGCAGTTGAGTAAGTCATGGGTCGTGATTCAATTCAGGGTCACCCCATCAGCATGCATGCGGCGTCACAAGCGGGGACCGTGCACAGCGGCCACATTTGTTGTGTACCATGCGTGTAGCAGCCAGCGAGCATGCAGAGGTCAATTGAGCAGAGAACTTGTATCAGTAGTAGCGCGCAAACGGCTCGACCGCATCCGCGGAGCAGCAGTCGTGAGTTTGAGTGTGAGGGGCATTCAAGACTTTGCAGCATGTGGCTGTGTGCGCGATGATGCTGTAGACGCATCCATCACCCACTTGCTGCCGATGTACATACAGTCAAGATTCTTTGAGTATCGGCGGGCCATGCGTGATTATTCGTGATTCGCCATTCTACGAAGACATATGATCTGCAGACAGTCGTGAGTCCAAGAGGGTCAGGCCAGCGCTCATCACTCACAATACACATGTTCATTGGCTCACATCTCACACACTTTGCCTGCTAGACGATTCACTACCCGCGCTTCGATGGGCTTGTGGAAGCTGGAGGCAATCAACCCCAAATCACAACTGTGTGTGCAAGCTCACCTTCTGGCCAGACTCAATCGCACCCCTCAAGCGTCTCCCACGCATACAGGCTTGCTTCATCACTCTCCCCGCGTCGAATACAGCGACAATTCCTTCTCTCCACCATGAATGCGAGCAATGAGGCGCACATGATGCCCATCAGAAGCGATGAAGACCACGCTCCCTCTTCGCCTGCCCCACCGCTGTCTGCACGCTCGACAGGCGACCAGAGCGCCTCTGCAGCATCCATCCGCACCAATGCGACTGCCTCCAGCAAAGCGCGTCGAGCCTTGTCCGGCCTCAAGTCACGCTTCGCTTCCTCCAACAGCCGCCATCGGCACACTGAGAGCGCTCCTCCAGAATCATTTGAGCGTCTAGCGGCAGAAGATGAGCGGGAGCAAGAGGGCATCCCACACGCGGACTCTGCCACGCAGACCACCGTCGTGCAGAGGGAAGGGAGCGTGAGGAGGAGAAAGGCATCGCTTCGATCCATCAAGTCTCTCGCTCGCAAAACATCCTCTGTCGGCAATGGTAATCGATCCAGCGCTCATTCACATCAGGAGGACGATGCACCTCCCCTGCCAGGAAAGTCTCTCGATGCGGCCGCCTATGATCTGAATACGGGCAATGCTCAAGCGATGGAAAAGGTCAGCAACAACGTTCAACGAGCTCCCAGCGCAGCGACTCGACTTCACAGCTACTCTCATCATGCGAGTCCTCCAGACTCAGGGTCAAGCAAGTGGAAGGACCCCCTTGCATCTCAGCGAGGTCTCATCCTGCGGGCTGTTCTGGTCACAGCGATCGCTGCTCAAGTCTCAGCCTGGCTGCTCCACTGGTCCGTGGGCATCATAGCTGCAGCCGTTGGTGCTCACATATCGCTAAAGTTGTTCGAGAGAGCTGGGAAGGATATGGCATGGGAGAGGGAAGCAGAAGAGAGAAGAAAGGTGAGCTGAGTCGACGTGACAGATACTGTACTCGAGTCGGCCAACTCACAACTCAGCATCACACCCACCAGTCGGCCAAGCAGGCACACCACCCAGAGACTGCAGAATGGGTCAATCACCTCCTCGCTACTGTCTGGCCACTCATATCCGGTACGTACAGCCGCCTCGCTCGATGAAAGCTGCTAGCTGATTGACCGATTTTCTACGCTTTGCCGCTGCCAGCCGAGTATTTGGTACCGTTCATCGATCTTTTGGAGGACGCTCTGATGCAGCAGGTTCCGGGCATAGTGCACGGATGTCGTGTGGAAGGCTTGGATCAGGGCACCATACCTCTACGTATCGTCGATTTCAAGCGTTTGCCGGACGATGATGAGAGTTTCTCACAACCCGAAACGACCAGCAAGAGCGCGCGCAAACAGGAGATACTCGAGGAGGATCGCACACAGCAGCACGACGCACCAGCGCTCGATGTTGGTGACTTTGTCAATCTGGAAGGTGCGTTGCGGGAGGCGGGAAAGTCCGGCATGCCAGAATCAACCCTTGTATTCAATGCTGCTGACCATCTCTTCTTGCAGTGTCATTCGCGTATCGTGGGCCGCAAGCACGTAGACGCAAAGCTCAAAGCAATAAAGTGGAGGGCCTTGATACCCCAACAGACGCTCATCGTGGCGTCAACGATGGAAACGAAGAGGATGACTCCACCGGTATAGAGCAGATACACCTATTGTTGTACATGGCCATCGGCTTGCAGAAGATTGCGGCAGTCCAGGTGCCAGTCTGGATCGAGATGCTTGGTATCGAAGGCAAAATGCGTGTCCGGTTGCAGATGACGCCTGCCGCACCTTTCGTCAAGCACGTCGCTTTCTGCTTCGTCGACAAACCTCGCATCGAGATCTCGGCCAAGCCCTTGAGCAAGCGAATGGTCATCGACGCGATGAACTTGCCACTGATATCTAGCTACGTCCTGCATTCCATTGAGCGCGTCATCAAAGACTTCATCGCGCCTCAGAGCTACACCGTCGATGTGGGATCTCTCTTGGGCGCTGGCGACGGCCCTCAAAACGTCTACGCCCTCGGCGTCATGGTGGTGGTTCTGCACCGCGCCAATGGCCTCGCAGCCGCGGATGTAGGAGGCACGTCGGATCCCTACGTGGGCATATCATTCGCAAGGGCGGGTAAGGCACTATACCTCAGTCGCGTCATGGCGCGCACCAAGGACCCAGTGTGGGGCGAGACGAGCTTCCTTCTCGTTGGGCCTGATGAGGTGCGAGACCACGAGCGACTTCGTCTCGCTGTGTACGACGCCGACCGATTCAGTGCGGATGACGAGCTCGGTCACGTTGATGTATCCATCTCGCGGCTCATTCGGCGAAGTTTGAACAGGCCTGGTAAGCCAGGGCATGTGAGCTTCCTCGAACATCGACAGGACGATCTCGCTCCTGCCCGTCGAGGAGCTTCGGTTCAGGGCTCGCTCAACTATAGCGTGGGATTCTTCCGTCTGGCTCAGCCTGCCTCCGGTCACCCCGCAACCCGCACGCATTTGCTCCAGCAGGCAGCCAATAAAGTGAACTCGCCGGCAGAATCCTCTCCAGGACCGCCGAGCGCAAGCACGCCACACGAGACCGCAGGAGTGGGCACTCAAAGTGCTACGAGTGAAGGTGTCAAGCT